CCATAGCCTGCCAGAGATAGACCCACCTCGATGCTGAAGGAATAAGTGGGAAAAGATAGATGGATGGATGGATTTGAAAATACATTTTCAACTTGCTATATTTAAAATGGATTGATAAATATATAATAAAACCACATTTTCCCCATTGTGGGACAATAAAGGGATTTTCTATTCTAAAATTTTATAGTTCAATTTAAAGTGTGCAATTAGAAAATACTTTTCAAATTGGATTTCAGATTGCCTGATATAAATGTTACATTTGAGAAGACTGGTTTTCTTTTCAGCGACTCTCTAGGTCCTCCATATGGAGAGTGAAGAAATGACTTGAATAGAACCTGTGTGGGACCATGAAGTTACCGTAGCTATGGCACTCCAGCAAACCAAAATAACAGCCACTTTCCACAAATGGACAAAACATGGAACAGTATTTAACTCTTCTAGGGGTTACCACCTTTAAAACTGACTTTAGGACCTAAAGAACAGCATTCAAAGCACTACCGATCTCACTTATCTGTGAAGTTCAAATGTATAAAAGACTGCTTATCCCTCTAAATAGACAAAAAGATCTTTCTTAAATTTCAAAAAAAATTCTTATATTGACTTCTTTGACCTTTGGGAAACCATTATGTGGACTAATGAGATAAGGGTAGACTTTTTTTAAGCTGCATGTATCTTGTTAAATCTAATGTAAATCACGTAAGAAAAGGGTATATCAAACAGTCAAACACGGTAGTGGTTGTGTGATGATCTATAATCGCTTTGCTCCTTCAGGAGTGGACCACATGATAATTTGGAAAACCATGATTATTACCAGGATATCCTGTGCTTATTCATTCCGTTATGCAGCGGGACAACAATCCAAAACCCAACAGCAAGCTGTCGTATCCAGCAATTTATGACCAGCTATGAAATTTGGGGTATTTTTGGTGCATCCTGCTCAAAGTTTGAGTTTGAATACAGAATATAGAGGCTATATAGTAATCTTAATTATATTTATTAATTTATGTTTTACTCTCCACTGAGGGTGATTTATGACATTTCTGCAAAAGAGTGTGTTTTTATGTATCCTGAACTGTATAATCTGATGTTCTGCGTTTGCTTTTATTTTGTAGGCCTATCTGCCTTTTTGAAAATAATCAGTAATGCATACTTCCTGTTAAGTTATCCTAAATCCCTGAAGATTCCCAAACTCATCTCAACCTTTTCTATTTTTTTGTTGTCTTCCTGTTGTGTTTTCTTATAAACCAAGACATATTTATCACATTTTATCATAATGTATGTAAGACAATATTCATGTCTTTGTTCCCCTTTGTCATGTGCTGTTTGTGTGCATACAGGTCTGGTAAGTGTCTTCCCCATGTTTGGTTCCTCCTTCTTCTACATCCACAGCAGCAGCTCCACCACCTTCTATGCTCCTTGCATTCTTGCTGTCAATGCCAGGGGTCTCCACTTCCTGCACAAAAATACACATGTAAGAACTGCACACGACACAAAGCGACACATATAGATAGATGAAGAAGAACTTTTCTCTGGAGCGCTCTAAAATCTGACTTCTGTGCTGTAGGAGCTGATGGCAGTGGTCCCCCTTGTGGAAGTGCAGTCTAGCCGCACCCAAACGCCCACTGCTGGAACCAGTTATCCATACGTTGACCTTACTTTAGGGGACATTAATACACAGCGAGTCATTCAGCTGCAACTGGAACAGGTATAGTTTCAAGCAGCTAATTGGGTTAATTGTTGTTTTTGATTCTTGGTGCTTTAAGACTGACTGTTTTTCTCCGCAGGGCCTGGAGCTGTGTCGAATTATTGCCATGCAGGTAGAAAACATGATGTCTGTGAGAGAAAAGAGGCTTACTCTGCCACCCAGTGAAATCACCATGCTGTGATGTGTGCACATGCTTCATATTATACACAGATGTTGCTGCACATTTAAATTAAACTACCTCCATTTACTTTCGGGTAATTGAAAAATAAGATAATCAGGATGTCAGTCCAGGTTTTAGTGGATTATTTCTTTGAGTTAAAGTGCACCTTTTGTCTTTGTAAAAAGAAATTATAGATTAATTTACAAGTGTGTTTTTAAAGGATTTCAGCCTGTAGATGTAGTAACTTTGGAATAATGTCTTCACAATAGCAAAGTTTTATAACTCATCAGTTTTATGTGTTTTTTTTTTGTTTTTTTTTGTTATACTGCTATAACTGGTTATGTTCACTTTTGAATAAAAAGTTTCTATATTTTGAAAAACATATATTTTGTCAGAAAGAAATAAAAGAATAATTTGAGAAACTGAGGAACCCACCGACTCATACCTTAAAATCTATATTTTTCTCAACATTTTTACAGGTTTGTCTAAAGTTTGGCACTTTTCTGATATATATTAGAATGATTGGGCATACACTGGATTCTCAGTTCTTAGAAAACAAAAAATATTAAGTTTTAAGCTTTTATATACGTATGTGTTGTTAGGGGTGTCTTTTAAACAGTATTTAGGTACTGGGGTAGTTGTGTTTCTTTTTTCTGCTTTTACATTTAAATTCAAGTGAAATATTTTACATACTATTTGAACAAATGAAAATAGTAGATTTTCTCACAGGTGACACTGGGTAGGAGGGGGGGATATTAAAAACCTAAACATTTTGGTTCCAGCTGCTTGATTTACATCTGTCCTTGTAAACCAGTAAATCTGTAAAAGCTTGGGGAAAATCCATTGAGCTGTTGTACTTTTTAGCAATGTGGATGCAGAATATCAGGGTTTTAATTGAAACACTCTCCATGTGTTGCTCTAAATGAAAAGAAAAGATGGACAGATATGAATAAAGAGCAGGATGCAACTTTTAGATCGTAAATAAAGCCTGGATCCATTCATCAGCCACCATCCATGCAGCTCTTGTCTATGCATATATCCACCTATTTGAAATGTGTTTAAGCTTGGAAGGCTTCCTTACCACCATATTATTCTGCTCTTTTTAAAAATCCACTCAGATCTATATCGGGTTTCAAAACTTTGTTTTGTATCACTTCAAAGGAAACGTGGGGAAAATGAGAAGAGGACCTAAAAACCAAATCTGCCAGCAGTAAATAACTCTGTGTAAATTCCGTAATTCAATCTGCATTAATGGATTCAAAGACGTCTACTACAGATTAAACCTTTTTTGAATATTGTACATTTTTTGACATTTTGAAATGTTTATAAATCCTGCTTTTTCTCACATTGGAGAAATTTACCTTTGCATTTAACCCATCCCCTTGGAGAGCAGTGGGCTGCCATCGTGGGGCGCCTTGGGAGCAGTGTGGGGTTAAGAGTGGCAGGGGTGGAGCTAGATGGGGGGCCAGGGGTGGCCAGTGCCACCCTTAGCCAATCAGTGGCCACCCCTACTATTTTTTCCCCTCTAATACAGATGGTGGCAGCAGTAATACTCTCAAGTGGAATATTCAAAAAAATTTATTTTTTTGTGGTTATAATTATACACATCAATATACTAACATCAAAGGTGATAAAAACAGAATTCATGCTCTTTTTAGAACTAGATTCTGTCTTATTTGGGGTAAAGAGAGAATTATGTGTCTCTGCACGTCATCTAAGGGTCTTCAGTGAAATCAAAGATGAATAACAATTTTAATGAAAACTTATCAAATAATCAATTTATGTAGATATTAGTGCTTGTAAATATCAATTATATACAGAATGTTTATTAATACAAATAGGTAAGCCTGGTAAACCAGAGTTTTATCCACTATACCTTTTATCTAGAAACTACGGATGTTTAAATATATGCGTCTATTTGTTATCGAAGGCTGTAGGAAAGTATAGTTTGTCTTATTTAGAAAATATGGATGTTTTGCTCGTTAATTTATTTCCCCTTTGGAACAGTGTAGCTTGACCCTGAGGTTTTGGTGCCTATCTACTTTTGGCCATCCCTCAGTGTACATTGGTTAATGCCTGGCCACCCTTATAAAAATTTCTTGGTTAGGCTTTTGAGGGTTGGCGTTTTTTGGGGTTGGGGTTCAACTTCTTACCTTCAGGTTTTTATGCGGGGGGGGGGTTGGTTGGGGGGCCAGGGGTGGGCATGGCCACTTGTAGCCAACCATTGGCCACCCCACCATTTATTTCCCTCTAATACAGATGGAGGCAACAGTAATAATCCCAAGTGGAATATTCAAAACATTTTAATTTTTCAAATATTAACAATTACTTGAGAACAAAAACACTGTGATTTATCAAGCACCTCAATATACTTACATTAAAAATGATAAGTAACGAATTCAAGCAGAAATAGGTTTTTGTATTTTATAGGGTAAAGAGAAGATGATGTGTCTCTGCAAGTCATCTAGGAGTCTTCAGTGAAATCATAGATAAATAACTATTTTAACTATTTTAATAAAAACATATTAAATAATTAATTTATGTAGATATTAGTACTTGTAAATATCAATTTTCTGTAGTATGATTACTGATAAAAAAAAATAGGTAAGCAATGACAATGGAAAAGATGTTCACCCAAAACTCAAATTTTAAAGAATTTTATCCACTATACCTTTTATTTAAAAAGCATGGATATTTGATTATATTTGTCTAGGTGTTAGCAAAGGCTGTGGGAAAGTATAGTTTGCCTTTATTTAGAAAATGTGGGTGTTTTGCTTGTTAATTTTCCTATTGCAACAGTGGCGATTGAGCGTGCCTACCCACTTTGGGCCACCCCTCAGTGTACACTGGTTATTGCCTGGCCACCCTTATAAAAAATTCTGGCTACGCCCCTGATTCCAAGCTTCATGCCCTAACCACTAGGCCGCCACTCCCCAAATGTTTATGTTTTTCCATATTTGGTCCCTAAAAATCTAATATAGTCGAATAATCGATAATAGAACAAAGAACAGTAGATAAGTTATTTTCAAAGAGAATGTTATTGGTGAGTAGTTAAATGGTGAGACAAAATTAGCCTCACAGAGCGTCCCTCCCACAAACTGAAATCCCAACTGAGCATGCGCAGACCGTCGGCAGGTTACACGAGTTTATGTTCAGGCTTATTCTTGGAGACGGACTGAGGAGGAGGTGTGTTTAGCTTCGCATTTTATTAACTATTTAGTTACTGTGTTTTTTCAGGCTTTATGGATCATTGAAAAAAAGCCTGCAAAGTTTCCAGCTTGGGAATGTTGGTGGTGACATGTCGCTGCGTGGTTTGTCGGTAATTCCAGGCGGCGAAGGAGTAACCAAGCCAGGCTAACCGAGCTAACGGCTATCAGCTAACACCGTTGGCTGCTCCATCGCTATAACGGAGCGCAGAAAGGGTTTTTTTGACGCAGCATTTAATAACAACCCTCTTTCTTTCTTTCTCAACTCCTGGATATATCGACTTCAGAACTTTTAAATGGGAGCAATGCTTCAACGCGAAGGCTAAATGTGGAGTCCTAGCTAACATCGGCTACTTTTGTTGATGCTATGTGTGAGACTTAATGGACTCTTGTAGCAATTTATTCTGAGTTTGTGTATCGCGATCGATTTGTGATGAAACGCATAATTGAAGTGCGTTAATTTGTTTAATTAAAAAAATAAAAAACGTTTTTTTTTTGCAACACGGCGATCATATTGTTTTGGTCGACATGGCAGCCAGCGGATACTCTGACCTGAGAGAGAAGCTAAAGTCCATGACTCCGCACCGGGATGACTACGGGAACAAATTCCGGGCGAGTAACGGCAGCGAGAAGGGTCGAAAGCGGAAGTATCGAGAGTCGGACGACGACGAATACGAGCATAGCGATGACAGCGCTGACCTCCGGGAGCAGGAGGCCCGCCGGGTGAGGAGCAGCGTCATACAGCGGAGCATCTTCACCCCGGAGGAGTGCGCCCGCATCGAGGAGAAGATCGACGAGGTGGTCGCTAAAGCAGAGGCTGGACTGTACCGGGAGCACACGGTGGACAGGGCGCCCCTCCGAAACAAGTACTTCTTTGGGGAGGGGTACACGTACGGTGCCCAGCTGGAGAGGCGCGGGCCGGGCCAGGAGCGACTGTACCGCAAAGGAGAGGTGGACGAGATCCCGAGCTGGGTTCATGAGCTGGTGATCGAGCGCCTGGTGTCCAACGGGGTGATTCCTGAGGGGTTCGTCAACAGCGCGGTGATCAACGATTACCAGCCGGGTGGATGCATCGTGTCCCACGTGGATCCCCTCCACATCTTCGCTCGGCCCATCGTCTCGGTGTCCTTCTTCAGTGACAGCGCGCTGTGCTTCGGCTGCCGCTTCCAGTTCAAACCGATCCGGGTGTCAGAGCCGGTGTTCGTCCTGCCTGTGAGGAGAGGGAGTGTCACAGTGCTCAGGTAAGCACTGCCATACCTCACAATCACTGCACAATCAGGACAAAACATCAGTGAAAAGCTCATCTCAGTTTACTCACTCTTACAGCTATTGAAAAACCCTTTAGTTTCTTTTATTACAATATTACATCAAATGAAAGTATTTTAAAATCAGAAGTCTAAATTTATCCTTGATCACTTTTAAAAGTACTTTTAATCTGAGCAATGAACCTAACCATAATTTAAATATTAATTTATTGAAAATGACTTATCTGTAATGGGGCCTAGCAAAAGTTTTTTTCTTTTCTTTAAATATTTATTTCCCATTTATCACTGACTTGAATTTATTCCATTTGGATTTAAAGTATGAGTCATTAAAAATTATTGCGTGTTTCTGAAGTGAAAATAAATGCAATAATAGTTTTGTTTTTATAAAACATTCATAGTTTGCGCTGCATATAGGGCTGAAACAATCAGAGAAATGTGATTAATTGATTATTGAATTAATCGTCAACTAATTGATTAATCGTTAACTTTAGTATAGAGACTGTAAAACTAGCCTTTAGCTGACAGACTAACACACTTAGAGCAGTAATTATGTCAAAAATGTAAAAAAATATATATATATATAAACATTTGGCATTTAAGATAACAAAAAACTAACTTTTCTGTCTGTCAGTATGCTCTATCCAGAACAAGTGGAAATGTTTTAGTTTCACCTGGTTTAATTTCATTAAAAAATTATCTTTGAGGAACCTTTTCATATCCGATTATTAATCCATTTATGTAAAAAAAAATAATCAACAGATTAATCTATTTGCAAAACAATCATTAGTTGCAGTCCTAATATGCAAATAGCATGGTATGAAATTGTTAGAAAACATCCTTAAACATTAGATGTTTAATATGTGATGTTATGAACAAGTGTCTATATTAAACATGTTAGGTTTACCTAACTATGCAGAGGAGGTAAGGATTACATTTGTCAACGAGGCAGTCAAGAGGGTAGTGTTAATCTTTGGAGGAGCTGCAGAGATGGAGCTGGACAATATAGGGCAAGAATGAGTTCTACACTCTACAGTAACGATGACTGTGGGATGAGGAAATCCACTGTTGAATGAGAGAAGAATCAGGAACATGGAAAATAATATTTTTGGAACAATCAGACCAACACTCGCCAGCAGAAAACAAAGAACCATATCTGAATGAATCATGATGGTTGCAGTTTTCTGCTGTTGGTTGGTTTTACCAAATATGGGGTGGTGCAGGCAGGGGAGCTTTAACAGACTGATCCTTAGGTTAATCTTTTAACAGAAGAACAGAAATAAAATGTACAGCCTGAGCTATAGGCTTATGTTGTAATGGCCTAGTCTTAATCATTTTTCACACTGAAGATAGGACATTAACGTTTTTCAAGTAAGGGTCGACCTGCTAACAATCAGCATTTGGCTCCCTTCCCACTGGCAAAGAAAGGTGGATCTAACCCCTCGCTGGTGAGCTGCATGGCCTCCGTTCCCCCCCGCTGCTGCATGTCTGGGAACACCATCACGCTGGGTTAGCGCTGATGATGTCACCAGGGTGACAGAAATCAAGAAAATAAACAATGGAGAGAAACATGTAAGGAAGCCAGGGCATAATAAGTGTGCTTTATTGTTTTGCTCTTTTGTCCCTCCGAATTCCTCCCACCAGTGTTGATCGAATATAAACGGAGTCGTTTTGGCTTGTTAGATCATAAACATCCAGAGCGGTGTGATGTCCGTACATTGCACTGAATGGTGATACGTAATTTAGTGGGCATTCTGGTGTTCTCCAATGGTGATTTTAACACGGTTCGCTTGCTAAGTCTTTTGACCCGGGTAGTGATAGTTCAGTGAGCTGTTCCCACTGTCGCTAATAGCTGATTGTTCCCGGGTTTAAACAGGTTCTTAGGCCAGTGGGAAAGAGGTATTACTGAGCTTGGTGTTTGCTAGCTTACTAGACTAGCCCCACCTGCCAGCGGACAAAATAATTTTCGCCTGCGACTTTGGTCTAGCCTCTATCAATGCCCCAGGCCCTAGAACTGGCAGGCCAATCACAACGCAGAGATGTGTTTTGAATTTTTGGATGCAAAGCGTGCAGGGTTTTGAGGGCGGGACGACAAAGCTGTGCAACGCTGGAGAAAGCACAACAAGGACATAAAATTATGGTGCATGACTGTTAGAAAATTAAGCAGTTAGATTTGCCGTCACAGATCGTAATTATATACTGATAATGTCAATTTACCTCGGCTATATTCCACGGAAGAGCGACAGATATCCTTGGCTCGTCTGTGTTGTGGCGGAGCTTCTTAAAGTCTCTGTTTTCGAGGGAGTAGGCTCCCGAGTTCTCTTTTCAGCAGCTGTCGTTCCCCGGGGGCACCTGCTTCCACCCCGTTTTCAATCCACTTACAATAAATTGGCAGATCTCTTTCCAGTCTATTCAACACCATTGTACATGCTCAACAGACTCGAATGAATTCCCCCCGGTGTAATCGAAACGTTCACTCCAACTTTCTGTAAACTTTTTGCCACTGACAACGGTTGATTTGAACTTTGGAAACGTTGTGTACAGTGGTGTAGTACACTGGCTACTCGCATGTCTTTTTTGCACAACAATAGTCCAACTCCATGATCTCAACAAGTTATCCACTGCTCACATCACACGCCGTTTGTTTACACTCCCCCACCAGCTTTCTGCTTCAGTCATTTGCGCGCATTGGTCAGAGCGTTGGCCAATAGGCTCAGACATGGTTTGAAAGACAACGGTTACGATTTCTCATTCATCGGGGCCAGACTAAATTACATGTTTAATCTCTCATTTAGTCTGGTTTATCAGGCTAAGTATTTGCTGCAAAGAGGGAAAAAAATATTATTAGTTTCTATGCACAATTCTGGTAGAGACTTTTTTTTTAACCAACCCAGATTTTTGTTTCATTAGGAGCATCAGTCAGTGCATCATAAATGTATATATTAGCTTTTACTTTATTTAATTTAATTGGTGAAATAACATTTTCATCATATTTTATTTTATTTAGATGTTACCTTGAGTCTTATGAACTCCACTAAAATACTTTGTATACAAGTTTGTGGTTGTAATGTGAAAAAAAAGCTGAAGGGTTGAAATGTGTTTCCATGACTCAGTAGCTGAAAAAAAAGCTTTTTTTTATTCACAGTGGCTATGCTGCTGATGACATCACTCACTGCATCAGACCTCAGGACATCAAGGAGAGACGTGCAGTAATCATCCTCAGAAAGTGAGTCGGTGTCCTGTTTGTAGAACACAACTGCTCAGGGGAAATGTCCTTTTATTTAATGTTTTTAAACTTGTGTGTTCTATTTGATCTCTTTACGTTATCAGAACTAAACCCGATGCCCCTCGGCTGGACTCTGAGAGCCCTTTAAGTTCTTCTCCTGCACTAAGACCCGCTCCTCTCAAAGCCAAGCGCTCTCATCGAAAAGCAGACCCGGATGCTGCTCACAGGTATACACCCTAGATTTTTGAATTTTTTTGGAAAGTTTACTGCTTGACCTGTAAGGCAGTTATAGCATTTTAAATGGTCTATAGTCTCTTAAAGCAAGATAAACAGAAAAGAAGTGGATCCCTATTTATTTTTATAACTGAAAGGCTGGTTGTACGTTGTGACTTTGGCATTTTATTATTTTTTTGCTCAGTTTTGTTCTTTTAACTTTCAAAAATCAACCCAAAAAAATGTACTTAGGAGAGAGAATAGGAAATATTCATAACTGAATGAATTCTGGTCTTTTCTATCTGAAACACTAAAATTAAATTAAATTAAAGGAGCATTTGCACAAAGTTCCATTTTAACTGAAACTTATAACTTGGTCATGATAGGATCTTGAGTTTCTCAGGGATAGCGTTTGACAAAGCAAGCATTAGCTGGCAAAAGGTTTGAGTAAATAATAACAGCAGTCCATTAATGATTTAGTTTAAGGGAAAAGAAGTCATCATTAAATAACTAATTATTCAAATGTTTGATTTAGTTTCATCGGCCATACAACTGATTTATATTCTATAGCTTTAAAATTACATTTTTATTCCCATTTTTGTGTTACCAGACCAAGGGTCCTGGAGATGGATAAGGAGGAGAACAGACATCCTTCACTATCCCGCCATCCTCGCCGCGGCGCCAGCTCAGAAAATTACAGGAGCCGCGATGAAGACCACGACAAACATCAGGAGAGCTCAGGGCGCAAAGTCAAAATGAGACGCCACTGAGCACCTCTTTGACACGCTTGTTCACTTACTAAAATATCTCTGCTCCTTTATCTACGTCAGTATTGTAACTTTTCTTATGTTTCTTTGGTCAATTGTTATTTGAATGGTCCAGTTTATTCTGATGCAAGAACCTCAGCTAGGTTTGAGTTTTATTTGAGTCTAAAAAATGTTTGTTTTGTGGCAGATAAAACTGGCTTTTCTGCTGCTTATGATAAACCTCACCTTACTCACTAAAGTAAGAGTCTGTTGTTTAACAGTTCAGTTAGTTTAAATTAAACATTTCTTTGTTTATGTATTAATAGAGGATCGGAAAAGGCATGTATTTTTTCTACCTTGAAAACTAAAGGACAGTTGGACATATGGACCTGTACAGAAGCAAACCCAGGCTGTAATCTAACCTCATAATGTACAAATCAGCACAGTCTTTATTTGGGGGTTTTATGGAGACCGATCTTGTTTTTTGTGTTCTCTATATCCTTTCAAATCCATTACCTTTCCATCATGTCAGATCTTTTCTTTTTACTTATATTAAGCTACAAATTTCAGTTATAAGTTGCTGCATATGGCACGAGTTCATCTCTGCTTTATGAGTTATGATTTTAGTTAATTTAGGTTGAGTTGTTACAGGAGCTAAGAATGCTCTGTGGGAGATGATACTTTCTCCTGCCTCTGTATAAGGCCGCTGTATACTTTATGACATGAACCATGTCATTCCTGTTCCTTAATAAATCCACTTTTTCCTCATATTACTCTGTTTTTAATGTATTCTGTTAAAAGGAATTTGTATTTTATGTCTGAAAATATCTGTGAAGAAATCTGCATTTGTGGATTGTTGCATAAACCTGTTTCTTAGATACCATATTTGGTAAAGGTGCTGCCTTAGCAGACAACTAGGTTAGTCTGGAGTTACACATGAATAAAAATAACCTCAGGTCACAGGAGAAATTACTTTCTAAAAACAGGATGAGTGAAGCTCTGCTGCACTTACGAACTTGGTTAAAGGTTATCTCCACAAACCAAACCTGGGATCCTTAGTGGTGTAAAAAGTGCAGACCAAAATGGATTCATTGGAAAAAGGTCAATATTTACAGCCCACAGTGTGTGTACCATGCAAGTAATCAACATGATTCCCATTTAAAAGAAACATCCTATATCTGCATTTTCAAATTAGGAGAGTTATTTGAGGTTTCTGGCCTGTTTGACACTTCTTAATGCATTTCTACTTGTTTCTAGGTTAAAGGTCCAGTTTGGGTTTCTTAAATCGATCAGTATTCAGAATGTTACCCAACCCTGTTGTATTGGCCTGTTTTTCAACAGATAAAAGCTTAGTTTGTGTGTGTTTGCAAAGAGTTAAACTTTAACTTGGGTAGAGGTGCATTAAGTAAACCTACCAAAGGGTTTTGTCGCTCTCTTAGAGCTAATTTCTCTGCAGATTCTGTAAGATAGTTAATATGTTGTATGAAAAGTATTGATGAATAAGTAATAGATGTAAATTTAGATGCGACCATCCTGTTAATAGAAATTAATCCATGAAAATAAAGACAAGACCTGGTTGTTACTTTGCATATAATCCTAATAAAAAAGTCTAAAATAAGATCATTACAAAATACAACAGGAAATTGACATTTTAAGTTGCTGTTGCTACTTTATTAATCCCAAAGGGTAATTAAATGTTACAGTAACTCATGAGCAGTTTTTTGTCTCACTAGATAGAAAATGAAATAAGATTTATAAAAACTGATGTGGAAACATAAATGCTAACCTAAACATTTGTCTGTGTGCATCTGTCTGGTGCTTTTTCTGGTTAAAACATTCTAGTTCCTCATTAAGTGAAGTAACACTGGGTAGAAGTAGTCATACTTTTAAACAATATGACTCGAGTAGAAGTAAAAAGGAGGGCCAAAGCTGGTCATTTTTACCTAAGAATTACAAATGTAAATGAAGCCAGTTCCTACCTGCCTCTGCTGCATTAAAAAAAAAAAAAGGAATTTTGAATTTATTATCACGAAATTGCTGCATTACCATCAGTTTGTCGCCAGAGGGAGCTGTTGATTATCCAAAAACCATCGTGAGAGGATTCAAACACACGAAGAAGACAGAGCGAACAGCTGTTTGCTAAATGGTTATGCTAATGACAGAACTGCGGTGTTCTATTGTTAAACAACAGCTGAGGACGTTTTTAATTTCATTAAAGACTGATGGTTTGAGTTCTGAAGGACGCATTTTTGTCTGCAACGAGCGGTCAGTGTTAAAAATCACTTAGCTGTTATTCACAGCTAACGTAGCTAAATTTCTTAACAGTTGCTGCTAGAAACGTTAGCGTTGCTATTGTTAAGTAGGGGGAAATTGGACAACATCCTCTAAGTATTACTGCGCATTTATGTTATTTAGCTCGAGAGTTTTATATCTGTATCGACAGAATTGCAAAACTCGGTCCTCATACCATTTGACCTTTGTTATTGTTCTCAAGACAATATAGCTTGCTGTTTGGGCTTTAGTTTAGTTAATTTATGGAACTGGGACTCAAACGAAGTAGTCTTTGAAACTATTAGCATTTTTTTTTAGAAATATTTTAATGTACAGACTATAACTTGACTTGGAAGATTCTTTTAAACCAGCTTGCTGTGACCTATTGTAGCTACTCTGTTTATAAATTTAGGATACAAAGGTAGAGGCCAATACTTTAGTGTGGGCAAATATAATTTAGCGAAGTTTTATATTACATTATTTAGATTGTGTGTAAAATATAAGCAAGATTATTTGATTACGCTGTTTAGTCACCATGATTGGCATGATTGGCTTCTTTTTTTATGTAATGTAGCAGATTATTTAACAAATTTGTAATGATTGTGCCACTTGATCTATGTGTCGTTGTCAAAAGTGAGACATAATTTGATCATGTGTTTGGATCATCCCCCCCCCAACTCTAATCTAAGAGGACTCCTGATTTCTGTCTGTTCTGACACTTAAATTTGTCTGGACAATATTTGATCCTCGCATCTATAGTGACCCTTGGTTGCTATATAGAGCATTTTTTATTGGAACTAATATGTGTAGAGCAGTAAATCAACACTTTCCTACCATGGGGATCAAACTACCAAATTAGCAACTAAAACACATCAATTGTCAGATTTTCAGAATTTTGAATTTCCGAAGTAAGAAAACCTTTAACAAATAAATAAATGGCAGCCAGTTTGTTCTTGTCCTGAAAGACATGTTGTTGTTTTTTTCTATTCTATATACCTGGACATTTTTGTTCTTTCAAAGGCTAACCACAGAAAGGAAGCCATGAGCTTTCAGGCCAGTCGGAGAAGAGGAGAAGAGGGCATTGCCGTGGTGATTGACTTCCTGCTGGCTAACGCTCGGCTGGTTCTGGGAGTCGGTGGTGCTGCTCTGCTAGGCATTGCTACCTTAGCAGTTAAACGGGTAAGTGCTCCTGAGGTGGTTGTTGTTGCCACATCACTACGTCTTTCCCAGTTTGTTTACCAAGCATATTCAAAGGCAAGGACTTGGATGTGCAGAACTAATTTGTTATTTAGTTCATGTCAGTGCCGACATCTTATTGAAACCAGAAATAGGTTCTAACCATGAGGGATTGCTGCTAAGTTGACAATTCAAGTGACAATCTGCTGTTGATTCATGCTCTTCCAAGAAGTGATAGTCGGGCACTTGTTAAACACTTTGAATGATAAACTGAACTTGTTTTAGATTCATAAACTGCTTTGAGACAACTTGCACTTTTAAACGGGTGGCATTAGATAGATTGACTAAAACTCTATGGAGAATCATACTTTTTCTGACATTCTGGGATTTTTGTTCTTTTGTAATGCAGATTCGACCATAATCTGCCTTTAAGGACATAAAGAACTTTTTGACTTTGGTAGCATCTGCTGCCAGAGCTGATTGCTTAGTTTTAATTAGGTTTCTGCTCATGAATCCCATTGATGTCACATGAGGTTATTGCTATTGACTTGAACTTTCTTTTGAATCTATGTAAGGTCATCTAATGTCGTGACTACTTTTTTTTTCCATACTAAAAAGGCCTGGTTATGTCATTTTCTATTCAAGTACTGATTTTACATTAACATTCAATATATCATCAATCTGTGTGTCTATTATAGTTCTATAATTTTATTCATAAACAACCCTTTCTTCACTTGAAATATTGGATATTAACTACAATGTAATGGTGCAAAAAGCACCTCAGGTTTATAATGTAACCTAGTTTTCCTTTATGGTCATGTTAGCGTATGCTTAGTTTGTGCCTCTTCAACTTGATGATTGGAAAAATGAATGTTTGTGTTTAGCTGATAGAGCGGGCAGGCCGTGCAGCAGAAGATGAAAAGGTGGAGCAGAAGGTGGCTGAGAGCTGGGAGGAGCTAAGTTTAGTCTCTGCTTCTCCAACGCTCATCAAGAAGGGAATAGAGGGTGTTGTAATGAAGCACGTCTCCAAGGCAACTAAACAGCAAAAAGGTATGGATTATACACATTGATATATTTTCAGATTTTCCCCCCACTATTGTTACATGTCAGCTGTTCTTCCCCAACCAGCTGATCTGTGTGAAAACCTTGAAGTGTCCCCACTGGAGGTACAGCCTAACCTTGAGGCTAAGTCCAAGAGGCTTCAGCTTTGTGTGCTGACACTACAGGTACAGTTTACCTTTGAACTACACAAAACTACTCTGTAAAAATCAAGTTGTAACAGCTGCTCTGTCAAGAGCTCATGATATCAGAATCAGACATACTTTAATAATCCCAGAGTGAAATTACAGTATGTGCATGTGTAAAGTCAAAACACAGTATAGAAGAAGAGAGCATGAAAGATACTTAAAGTGGATTGAAGAGCTTGAGGCTTAATCTCAAGCTAAAGTAAACTGATTTATCTTGTGATCATGAGCTCATCAATTCTGAACCTTTTCTGCGATGCTTTGAATACATCTGTTATTATGAACATTTGAAACTAGCAGAAAAGTTGAATCGTCTTGACCTTATTTGAAGGAAATTAACAATAATTATTCAGCCAGAGTTACAATAAAACTTAATTGAATTCAAGTTAATATAGATATATATTTGAATGGCCAAGGTTAGGTATAGACCTTTTCCTGCATTTTCATTCTCTTTGGCATTTTTAGCTGAAAATGTTACTTTACTTTGTCAGTTGTTATTATAAGGTAAAACACATAAGTTTTTAACACTTCAAGGCAGCACTGTGTAATTTTCAGCCACTAGGGAGGGCTAGACCTGTAACCTCCAGGTTCCAGCACCTGGCAATGTGTCTTGGAGTCAAATAGCAGACCACTTTGAACCAACAGAATGAGAAGTCATGGAGTTACCTTTAAGGGCAAGAAAACATTCATCCCTCTAGATTAAATCCTACATAAGAGATAAAAAATATTTCTGGTCAGGTAAATGTTTTATCTATTTTGTTGCATAGCAACAGCTTTTTTAGGGTTAGCGCTTGTGTTTAAGGGGAGCTAATGCACCTCTCTGGGCTATGACTGACTTTTTCAACAATGGGTCTGAACCTCACAGTCCGCATGGACCATCAATACATGGCAAGTGCTCAATATTGACCTGAAAAATCATTTCATATTTCTCAATTCAGATCAATACTTGGGTCAAACAGTGTTGCTTTAAAAATAAACTTTAATTTATTACCCTTTGTATAGTTTAATTATTAAGGCTTGTGAGGGATTAAGTTTTCTTATCTTTGCATTAAAAAACATGCCGGGTAAAACATTGTTTCCAATTATTGGACATTCTCTAGGAGCGCCTGCAGCAGTACTACTCCAGCAGAGTGGTGCTGGCTCCACAAGAAGTAAAGAGGGCTCAGTCTCTGGCTCTGGATATCTGCTCTGAGATTCAGGGCTTTCTTCACAGCCGTCACCCAGACATGCCTCTGGGAGAAATGAACCTCGGAGGTTCTCTCCTGGATGATTTGCAGGTAACCTTGATGAATGTGGAGCTTTCTACTCTTATTTGAAGAAGCAATTTTCTGTAACTTGCACGTTTATGTAGAGGAGATTACATGTACATAGAGATTTTTTTCTCTTTTATATTTGTTTATATTTAGGTGGTCTGTGCAGACCACGTGTGTCTGCTAGTGCCCCTACAGCTGGAACCTTCATTGTGGCGCCTCATTCCTGGAGAGGAGACACTACTAACACACCCTCTGCACTGGATGGTGCGTCGGGTCAACCTGGAATATTTTCCAAGAGGGCGCAGTTACTGGGACAGGTAATCACACGCAGATTAAATGAGGTCAAATTGTGTTAAAACTTAACTAGTTCATCAGGATCCATCTTAGCCTGACCTCATCATGTTGGAGCTGCAAAGAGGCGATGCTGTTTTTGTTTTGACCTGTCTACCTTTGGGTTTTATAGGTACTTGGTGGGAGGTTACCTGTCATCAGAAGCTGTTGTGAGCTTGTTCAGTAAGGCTGTCATGGAAACTGTGAACTGGCCGTCTGTCAGCAGCACTTTGGACTGTCTCGTCAGACCAGTACTGGGAGTGTCGGACCTGAGACTGGAGATCCGGTCTGTTTGTTCTGATGGATTTTTTTTTTCCTTGATACTTTTAAAATTTTCGTTGATCTTATTCTGCAGCACAGTATAGGGGATCTAAATAATATGTTGCATTTTACCTCCAGCATTTACGTACTGAGTGATGATAGAAAACTTAAATCACACAGACTTTGTATTCGAGAGGAAAGTGGGCTTTAGGTGTGGTTCATCTACTGAATGAAAGTGTATCTTTTTTGTAGTTGAGTGGTGAACAGTATTAGCCAATGAAACTGAAGATGGTCAGATTTCATTTACCAGCTGATTTATAAAATTATAAAACAGTATAAATGCATTTATGCTTCGGTTTTTTTGTAATATTTCAGGCCTGAAAGTGAAGCGTTGAGCAGTGATCCACCAATCTTCATCTCAATGCTGCCCATCCTCAGAGAGGGCGATGTGGTCCTGACGGCCCAGCCAGAGCTCACGTCTCCTTGGGTTAACGCCTGGCACCTCTCTCTCTACCCATGGGAGACCCAGCGCCTGGCTCAGCTGGACACTGCTGATGATGGCTGCCGCAGGTTAACACTCAAAATCCTGAAGGCTGTTTGCAAACTGAGCCCCCCTCTCCGTCCCCTAGAGGCCGCCCCGCTGGCCAATCTGATCCTACACCTCAGCGACACAGAGGACGACTGGTCCAAGAGCAGCCTGGATGTCAGATTACAGCAGTGTATCACTCAGCTAATTGGTCATCTGGAACAGGGAGCGTTACACAGCTACTTCAAACCTGCCGTCAATCTGCTGAGCAGCCTGTCCGAGGATCAGGTGGACCAGATGGGTTTCATGCTCTACTGTGCGGTGTCGGATCCGGAAATACTGCTCATTTGAATCCCAAGGTTTCCACAGACATGCAATATTGCATCTGATACAAAGAGGTGCAGTCACTGTGTCATGGCAGGTGAAATGTCTGCAAGGCAGATACAGAAGGGATGGTTAAAGTGCTAAAAGTCCCACAGGAAGAGGGAAAAGTGCCAATGGAAAAAGAAGAGGACAAAATAATAACGCTTTAGTACCAACCTATGCTGCTGGTTTTGCATTTTGGTTTTTGCACATTTATGAATTAAAGGCTTGCATTTTTCTTCATGATTTTTAAAAAGTTCTTTGAATATCCTGCTTATGCAGAGAAACAGATAACCTGCTGAAATTGTTCCTCTTCAGTAACCTGGCTTTGGTAAATTTGAATAGTTCTCAGTAGGACTTTTACAGTTTTCTTCCGTCTTTATTCAGAAAGTTCTCTCATCATCTTACATATTTTTAAACAGTGAGCTTTGTCAGCAAATTTCATCTGTGTTTTTATTAGGATATGTGCGTGTGTGTGTGTGGATATAAACAGCGAAATAAAATGTCCTTATTTACCCCATTATGTTACATAACCTCTGTATTACATGTCATTTGACTTTATTCATAATGGTTAGATAACCAGCATCCTGGGGGGAAAGGGCAGAATTTCCTTTCAAGCCACAGACTAGTTTTTATTTTTGTGTATTTTGTTGGAACCGTTTTCTACATGTAGCTTTAGCAGCTTACAGGTTAACACTTTTTAAAGCACTATTTAATTTCCCTTCACCAAATATAAATTAGTCAAATGTGTATTTACTTAACTGAAACAAGAAAAATGTAAACTTCCAAATGTTTTTTTTTTTTAGCATGTAAATGCATAGGCTGAAGGGATTGACAAGAAATTATAGCTGAAAACCTTGAGGTTTATCTCACCACAGCTTTATGTGGGAAAATAACTAATTTTTAAATTCACATTAGTGAATTGTTTTACATATTGGGTCCCTCACCTTCTGGTGTCTTAAGTTTAAAGCATTATGGGTTTCACCTGGAGTTTTTTGGATCTAGAGGATAGATATGTGTTCCCAGGTTTTATTCAGATAAATTCAAGTGATTTCTATACTATTTTACCTCCAAACTTATCTAAGGGTAATTAAATGTCCAGATAATTTCCTTTTATATGCCACGTTTTGAAAAATTCTAGTACATTCATTACAAACCATTATATTATCCATCCATTATCTGACACGCTTCTCCCAATTGGGGTCGCGAGGGGTTCTGGTGCCTATCTCCAGCAGTCAATGGGCAAGAGGCGAGGTACACCCTGGACAGGACGCCAGTCCATCACGGGGCAACACAGAGACAAACAGGACATACCATTCATGCACACACTACCTAAGGAGAATCCAGAGAAGCCAATTAACCTAATTCATATTTTTGGACTGTGGGAGGAAGCCAGAGTACCTGGAGAGAACCGTGGATGCCCACGCATGCTCAGGGAGAGCATGCAAACTCCATGCAGAAAGACCCCCGGGCCAGGAATTGAACCCAGAACCTTCTTGCTGCAAGGCAGCAGTGCTAGTGCCACTGCGCCACTGAGCAGCCCCCATTATATTATAATCCTAGTTGGTAAGAAGTTATCTAAGGAAGATCTGTGGATTGATTTCAGTGCTCTGGAGCAACATGTACCGGTATCAGTAAAAAGGGTCCACACCTTAGCAAAGAACCCGCTGCAGGCTGTGGTTGAATTTTTGTCTTTCTACATCTAAGACTTGAGAGGACAATGCTGTATGAAAAAGTGAAACAGAAAAGCACTGCTTCAAGAATAGTGAAACAAGAACAGTAAGTTACAAACTTAGGATATTTTTGTCTAATGCTTATTCATTCAGTGAGGTTACTAGGGATTGAGTTGCCAGAAATGTGACTGTTAGTTGTGCTAAGGGCTGCACGGCGACGCAGTGGATAGCACTGTTGCCTTGCAGCAAGAAGGTTTTGGGTTTGATTCCCAGCCCAGGGTCTTTCTGCATGGAGTTTGTATGTTCTCCCTGAGCATGTGTGGGTTCTCTCCGGGTACTCCGGCTTCCTCCCACAGTCCAAAAACATGACTGTTAGGTTAATTGGCTTCTGTAAATTCTCCTTAGGAGTGAGTGTGTGCATGGTTGTGTGTCTGTGTTGCCCTGCGACAGACTGGCGACCTGTCAAGGGTGAACCCTGTCTCTAACCCATAGACCCCCGGAGATGGGCACCAGCCTCACCGTGACCCTGAGAAGGACTAAGTAGAAAAAGATAGATGTGTTACTCAATGCTTTCACTCACATTTTTAATGGCTGTAAAACTAATCTGATGCCTTTTATTCTACCACTCTGAAGCCCAGTACAAAAAAGCATGTTTTAATTATCATCAGTTAAAATCCTTTGCCATTGATGGCATATCTGGCACTGCTAATATTGTGGAGCTGTAGCACCAACATTACAGTAGGTTATTTAATTATATTCATAGTTAACCATACACTGTAAATAAAGTTGACTGTACAGCCTTGTGAAATGAATAAAATTAATAAATTAATTTCCACATTTTCTAACAATAAAGCCAGTGGGTTGGATGGAATCTCAGCAGAGCATTTAAAGTATGCAAGTGCAAGGCTAGCTCCTCTACTTTCCATTTGTTTTACAGCATTTCTTATACATGGTCTTTTTCCTGACACTATGTTAAGTGTCCTGTTAGTACATGTTTTTAAAGAGGAAGCTGGGAATATTGGCAGTTCGGATAATTACTGTCTGATAGCATTGGTCAGTATAGTTTCAGAAATGATTGAATTAATCCTACTGGACAGGATTGTAGGGGTTATCAAATCTACAGGTAACCAGTTTGATTCAGGCTGGCGGTTCAGTTTTAAGGTTAGGCTGTGCACAGATATGTGCATATATGCTCTAAACATATTTATGAATATAATAAACAGAACTCTTCGGTTTTTATCTATTTCCTAGATGCATCAAAAGCATTTGACAGGGTAAATCACAGAAAACATTTCATGAAACTGCAACAAAAAGGTGTACCAGAGTATATTACTGTATTAGTATTATGTCATATTGATATGCTCAGCAATGACTCCAGATTAAATCGGGGCAGTAACAGGATGAGGCACTGTGGGATTTTGTCCCCAGTTCTTTTTAATTTGTATCTGGACGATTTATCTAGCAAGTTGGGAGCTTGTAACACTGGTTGTGTGTCTGGTAGCTCTGTACTTAATCACCTCATGCATGCAGATGATTTAGTAATACTTAGTACTTAAAAAACATTTAACTTCTTTGGTAAAAATGTGATCGCTAACACTGAGCCTGGTTCTGCTAGAGATTTCTTCCTGTTAAAAGAGAGTTTTTTCTCTCCACTGTCGCTACAAGCATGCTTAGTGTGAGGGACTGCATTCGAGTCAATGCAATCAACTGGTTTTCCTTAGAAAGACAACTTTAAATCAATTTGACTATATGATCTGGTAAACTGTAAAGTGCCTTTAGATGATGTCTTGTGAATTGGAGCTATAGAAATAAACTGAATTGAATTGAATTAAAATGTTATCCCAGCCATTGAAAACAAATAATACAAAAGCTGTATAAAAAAAAAAACACAAACAAACAAGAGCAAGAAGCAAAAGCGAAGTCCATTCTTAAAACAGCTGCTAAGACGTACCCCTTGTGTACAGTGGGTGGCGCTATAGTCAGAAGTTGTTTCCATGTAAGCATGCTTGATTAAAACAAAAACAAAGTAGCTGGTAACAGTTTTAGTATTTTCAAATAAGGCAAAACCTTTTGTTTGTAAGAATCGATTTTTTTTGTTGTGGCTGTTATCGATGTTTTGTTTCAAAGGAAGCTGTCTTAAAGCAGTTGTTTCTTTGACAAATAAAAGGTCATTACAAGTGGCAGCAGGGTATTTGTAGGTTGCTGTTTTTTTAGC